ATTGTTTAGTTTTGTTGGAAGCCTGCTCAAACTCTGTCATTATTGAGCTACATTATATCGGTAATACTTTATTTGGACAATTGGACTCAGAGGATGTTGTATATCTTTTTTTTTTTTTTTTGTCTTCTTTCGTGTCTGGCAACAGGATCGCAACCCTCGGTGTTGCGCCCGCACCTCGCTCAGCCAGTGAGCGGGAACCGGTCTGTATGTGGGATCCGAACCCTCGGCGGGAGCGCCACCACGCTCCCAAGCAGCGCACTGTAGCAGTGCGCCACTGCGCTCCCAAGTGGGGCACTGTAGCAGTGTGCCACCGCACTCCCAAGCGGCGCACTGTAGCAGTGCGCCACCGGGCCGGCCCCAAAGAAGGTTGGATTTTGAGAAAATATAATGAGTTTAGTGAAATAGGCCACACCTTAAAGGGATGGTCTAGCTTTGAAGATTCAATTTGTACTAAGAAAATTCCAGATGCGCCACCGGGCCGGCCCCAAAGAAGGTTGGATTTTGAGAAAATATAATGAGTTTAGTGAACTAGGCCACACCTTAAAGGGATGGTCTAGCTTTGAAGATTCAATTTGTACTAAGAAAATTCCAGATGCATCCAAATTCTAATCTTTTGGCATCAGGTAACATAAATCTATATACATCAAATAAGATGACAAATCTTATTTGTGCAAACAGTGTGTCTCTTCCTGTCTTAATACTAATCTGACTATAACCAGCTTGAAGCAAAGATAAAAAATACCTCCAGATGTTAAATAACTGTTATATTGCCATGGTGTACAGGAGATTATATAACAATTATATTGCTTTGCCTGCAGAGAAAAGAGGAATTTAATACTCAGCTGAAACAGGTTGAATTTGAGATCTGCCTCTTCCTTCAACTCCTTTTACATGGGTACCTGACAAAGCTGAGAACAATTCTGCTTGAAAATTCTTTGTAAAGCTCAAGTAAAATAATCATGTCCAGCCCTTACATTTTATATAACTTTAATTTGACCATGCTTTAACACTCTCTGCTGTTCTATTTTTCTCCTTTCTTTTATAGCCATACACATCAAATAAAGATCTATCTACCATTTCTAGTTTTATACCACAAATTCTCCTTAACCTCCAGCTGTCTAGCTTTTACAAATACTAGTATATTGAAACAAACCTTCTCAGGTTATGTAGTTGCATTCCTAATTTACCAAGTTCAGTGTTGTTTTCCCCCTCAGTCCTCAGAGAAAAGATCATGAGCTTTGATGGGAAGACCATTGGTTACCTTCTCTTGACAGGAGGGTCGCAGATGCAAATGAGATGGAAAATGTGCTAGATCTAGAAGGAATATATATATTACTAAATATATACAATACTTGTCCTAGAAATAGGACTCGATCAGATTCTCATATTTAATATTTTTCCAATACTTATTCCGTAGAATTTAAGAGATAGAGCAGTTATTATCAACCAAAATGGGTCTTATTGGTTGATAATAACCAGAACAGTTATTATCAACCAGCAAGAATAGTTATCTACTGGGAGTCAGTGAGAATGAAGAATTGAGAATGAGGAATGACTCCTTTCTAAGTACAATTTTATATAGTTTTAACTTTTGTAAGCATGCTAATATTTTACATAGTCAAATTAAACCTACAATCTCTCTCTCCCATCCATCCATCTATATCTGTCTATCTAGAATCTACCTATGTATGTGTTTATGTACAAACACACATGCGTACATTTACCAGCACTGTGCATCTAGAAGCTCAGATACTCTATGAGACAGTATCTGTGCTAGAAATGAATGGAACTTTCTGAGAGAGCTTAGTGAAATTTGTATTGCTCAAGTTCCTTCGTTTAAAGGTCAGTTTCCAGCTAAGAAATCTCTAATTATTCAATCTGTCAGCCCCGTGGCTACCCTCTAGTGTCAGTCTACTGTGACAAATCTGAGCTGCATAAGAGGAGGCACGTTCTTGACCTACATCACTAATGAGTAAAAAAAGCACTGAAAATATTGTATTTTTCCTGGGTTTGAATCCCTGGTACCTACTAAAGTGCTGAGTATTCTTTTTTTTTTTTCAGATTACACTTTTCTTTTTTCTGACACCAAGCAGTCTGTACAGTTTTAGAGAAGTCACAGGTCCTCCTCTGCTCTCGCTGTCAGTTTGAATTGTAAAAATGTGAACTTTTGGGGACATGTGTTTCTTTGGGATTAAATATGCATCTAGACCCCATGACTCTGCATCTAACTTAAAAATGTTTTCAGTCCTCCGTTGACATAGTGGCATTTAGTCATGAAGGGTTTGTTTGCCTGCACTGTCTTATCTGAGATCGGGTCACCCCTCCTTTCGTCCCCCAGACCATTAAGCCTTCTGACATCGCCACAGTCCGCACGCTGGGCCGACCCCCTCACCTCATCATGCGGATCATGGACTGTGTGCTGCTGCTGTTTCAGAGGAAAGTCAATGCAGTGAAAATTGACCTGGAAAAAAGTTGCACCGTTCCTTCCTGGCAGGAATCTTTAAAACTGATGACTGCAGGGAACTTCTTACAGAACTTACAGGTTGGTAGTTCAAAAATGATGCACTAAAAGGAGACTCAGTCCTGATTGAGGTATCTGAGTCCTTTAGTAGAATAAGTTTCCAAAAAGAATTTGGCTGACATATATATTTTGAATAAGTATTTAAGTATTTTTTTCAGAGTAGAATTATCTCTTTCCAATATAAGACATTATAAGCATTAGAGCTTTTAATGACAGATTTTAGGTGTATTAAAGCATTATCAGTGATATGCATGCTTTTAAAAAGTTTAAGAAATAATTTTAAATTAATAATTTTAGTTTAAAAATTTTAATAATTTTAATATATAATGTTATATGCATATGAATACAAATATATACATATATTTATAGTTTGAAATTCTCAGTAGTAATTTTTCAGTTTTGTTTACATATTTTTTATTTTGCTATGAGATAAAACATACACGTAACAAAATGCACACATTTTAAGTGTACAGCTTGATAAATATTTATATATGTATATACCTATTAGCAAATACTGAAAGAAAAATATAAATTTCCAGAACTCAGAAATCTCTCTTGTGCCCCAACTTAGTCAATTATCTCCTTTAAGATAATTTTTATTCTAACCCTTATTCTGATAATTAGTTTTGCCTGTTTTGAAGTTCACATATATGAAAACATATCATATGACCTCTTTAACCTCTTTCATTCAACATGTCTGTGAGATTTATTCTTATTATTGCAAAGAACAGTATTTTCTTCTTTTTTCATTACTGTGTAGCTTTCCAGTATGTACATATGCAGTGGTGTGTGTGATAAATGTTTAACAGCCGGTTCTTGGGGGAAAAAAGCAAAAAAGCAAAAAAGCTCTGATTTGTAGTGTTTGCCATGGTGTAACCACTTCCACAATGGCAATTTTCAAGCTGCCAATATAATGTTGGAGAATGTTCAGTTAGGAAGAGGTACACAATAGCATGTCATTATTTGGTGTAGATACAATAGTTGTAAATGACCTCAAATACATATATGATAGTAAAATGTAGTAAAATAATTAGGAAGTGACGAGTTTGACTATGTAATATCTTTGTTTTAAATATAATTTATTTAATTTTGTTTATATAATTTAATGTTTAATAATGGCTGTGTTTAACTACCAGTTTGTAAAATTCCTGAAAATTTAACAGTAATTTTTCAAGCCATTGTGAACCAACACCAGTGCGAAACACTATAATATGCTTTGATTTGTTTTTTCAATATACTGTTGATGGGCTTTTGGGTTGTTACTAATTTTTTGACTTTTATAAATATTGCTTCTGTGAATATTGGTCTATCTACAGGTCATCTGTTGGCTGTTTGTATGCATTTCTGTTGGCTGTAAACTCAGATGGGGAATTTGGGGGTCTTAGGTAATACACATTTAATCAGCTTTAGTTGATAAGGCCAAAGAGTTTTCAGAAATGGTTGTCAACGTGCACACCCATCGGTGGTGTGTAACTTGTTCCACATCTTCACCATTTTCTACTTTTAGCTATTCTGTTGGGTTTGTAGTAGTATCCTATTATTGTGGGTTTAATTTGTATTTCACTGGTGACTAAGGATTCTGAAAATCTTTTCATACGTTTATCAACCTCCCGAGAATTCTTTTGTTAAGTGCCTGTTTGGGTCTCTTATCCATTAAATTTTTTTTTATTACTTTGTAGAGTTCTTTATATATAAAGTATCACTAATTTTTTTTTATATGTTTGCAGATAACATTTCTGCCACTTTCTGGCTTAGTTCATTTATATTAATGGTGTCTTGATAAGCAGAAGTTCTTAGATTAGTGTAGTCCAATTTATTGATATTTCTCTTACTAGTGTTTTCTGTATTTTGTTTAGGAGATTTTGCTCACCTCTAAGGCAGAATAAATTCTGTTTTCTTGTAGAAGTTTTATTGTTTTATCTTTCATATTTAGATCTTGAGACAACTACTTGGAAATACCCAATTCACATTCATTTCCCAGGCTATAACTTTAGCACTATCTTTCATGCAATTTTCAGTTTAGTATTGTCCAAGTGGCTGCTGTGGCCAGAGCATCTTGTGAGGCATCTTACAGCACCTACAACAATAATGAGGTTATGAAACTAGTGGGCCCTACAGACTTGTCTCAGATAATTATAACACAAAACTCTGTGTCAGCGGAAATGGACTTGAGTGGAATACTGGCAAGTGACTCCAGGTTCCTGCTTTACCTTACCTGGTGGCAGAGCCACTGCTCTTGGAAACTCCCTTGCTCCTTGTCTTTTCTCCATGACCATCCTTCTGTTGCTCCCAGACATTCTTCTGGCTTCACTACTTTTCAAGTCTCAGAAAAGAAATTTGCATTAAATGAGGTCTGAATAAGAGTGTGTTTTACTCTACAGAGTGTGTGTTCTGCAAAGACTTGATTCACTGAATTATTTAATTGCTGTATTTCTTTCTACTTGGAGGACATTTAATCATCCACTTTTAGATGGTCAAACACCACTTTTGGAAGGTCCAATTTCATCATTTGGCCAGTCTTCCCTTCTGACGCAGGAAGGCATTCTTAATTTATTTCTGCTACTATTTAAAAATTGTATCCCTCCAGAAGATTATAATTCTCTTATATTCTTGATAGTTCTATGATTAAAAATTAATTTCATCACCCTCAAGGCCGAATGCCCAAGTTATTATCTTTACATTTCAGGTGAGAGCTTCTGTCTGAATGCATTAAGTATTTAGTTGCTGGTAAATGCTAAATATATATATGTCCTTGGGCTGAATATACCTGTGTGTGTGTCTGTATTTCATTGTTGATTTTATGGGTTTGTAATTCATCTATTTAGAATTAATGAAAAGAATTTTTATTGCTTTGGAAATTCTAATAACTGTATTAGTGTTCATCACCTAAATAATTTACTTTTCCCTGGATCCCAGTGTATTTATTTAGGGTTGATATCTCTTGTCTATAGAAGACAAAGTGTACTCTACCAGACTTTTTTGCTCTTCTCCTTACTGTGCTTTCATCTTCAGGACTTTTGCCTAATATCCTGAAGTATTGACAAAATATGATGCCAGTCATCCACTTTTGGTTGTTCAATAGTTTCAAAGGCATTGAGAGCACATGTTAGTATGGTGTAATAGAAAGAAGTGTTTTGACTTTATTTCATTCTCTTCTTTCATAGCAATTCCCCAAAGATACAATCAATGAAGAAGTGATAGAATTTTTGAATCCTTACTTTGAGATGGCAGACTATAACATCGAAACTGCTAAACGTGTGTGTGGGAATGTAGCCGGTCTTTGTTCCTGGACGAAAGCCATGGCTTCCTTCTTTTCTATAAACAAAGAGGTGCTGCCTCTGAAGGTAAGCCTTCTAGGTAGAACTGCGAGAAATGCACCTGGGAGGGGTCTCTAGGTCAACTGTTCTTATCTTTTCACAGTAGCACAGGAGCCTTTGGCCTCTAGTGTTATTATGTTTAGGTCCCAGGGAGAGCAAATATTAGAACTGCTGAGCACAGAATGTTTCTTTCTTCTCTGTAATCCTACTCTGATCAGGATCGTATGAGCCTTTAAGCATGGATTGGCTCTCTCGACAAGGATGCTAAGTCATTTGTGGGCTGCTGGATATTTTTCCTCCACAGTGTTAACTAAAAAAAAAAAAATGAGACAACAACAACAACAACAACAACAACAACAACAAAACCATGGAAATTATAGCACAGACTCCCCTGATAATGTTCAAGATCTCCACCCAGGGAATCCTATGAGTGAGACAGGGTCAAGACACAGAAAATGCCTATAGCTGATCTTGATTGTAAGGCATGACAGTCCTCCTACCCCCTCCTTTATCCCTCAGGAAGGAAACAATATCATCTATTTGCTATTTAATTGACTTTTGAGACTATACCTATGTTTCCCTTCGAGTAATTGAATTTTTAAACTTTATTTGTATATATCCCCCTACCACTAAAAGATACTCAGTTTTAGCAAATGAAATACTGATGTCTCAAAAATTATATCTAATGGCTTGGTTGATTATTTTGCTTTTGTGTAAGTCTAAGCTCTCTCAAGCATCAACTGAAATTCACTTATGCTTGTAAACTACTCAAGAAACTTGAAAATCATGATAAAAATAATTCAGAGGAATGGGAAAATAGACTTAGAGTTAAAAGTCCCATTTTATTTTCTTATTGTAACTATACCAGGACCACTTACTCAGTAATTGAGGCACTCGGGATCCTAGGACAACTTTAAGGAACAAAGACTCATTCGATTTAGAGAATTTTAGGGCAAGTAATTGATGTCATGCTGTCTGACATCATGGGTATTGCAACCACTGAAACTCCAGCATAGCTCAAAAATGACCATTCTGATATTGACTAAATTAAACTACCATATTGCATGAGAAGTGCAGGGCATCCTTTGTGCATTTTTTCTGTGGATAAGCATACATGGTATCTTAAAGGGAATTACGGTTGAATTCATGATGTGTAGTTTTTGTATTATTGTAGTTACTTTAAGTATAGTGAGCTGAAATAATTAAACATGGACATTCTGAACCAGGTTTACATAAAAACAGTGAAGTCCTTTCCCCTATGCTCAATGCCTTCCATATTTCAGCTTCCAGCCAGTCTTAGGACAGTCTAGATCATACAGTAGGGAGCAAAGGGGGACCCTTTTCCTTCCTCCTACGGCCTGTGCTTCTGTTTCTGGGAAGTCTGTTCTAGGAGTTCCTTCGTATATTCTTATGACCGTCCAGCATCTTGGACCATTCAGCTTGTTGGGTCCCTCCTATGTCAGTTAGAAAAATGCATTCAGTTACGTAGATCCTACCTGCTCACTTGCATTGGGAGAAAGTATAAGATGAAGGGAGTGAGGTTATCATTGGGTGATTCTGCTGAATATATTAATACATGCAGACCGAGGCCTCTAACTTCACTTATTCCTGGAGGGTCTTCATTTGCAAGCTCCTGCCTCCTAAGTGAGGAGAGGGCACGGACACTCCCTAAACTTTAGGTGGAATCCCTTCTGTACTAACTAGTAGTGGAGACACTGAGGGGCTGTCTTCTCTCATTTTGCAGTCCCAGTAGATTGGCCAAGTCACTTCTACTAGCACATTTAAATAAATATTAATTACAACAATAGCAATTTAGATTCTATTCAAGTTTATTATAATGAGATTTCTCCATGAAAACTATGAAAATCAGTAAATATCTATCCATATTAATAGAATGTTTAAAAAAGTAGAGCCTTAAATGTTGAACGTGGATAATAACAATAACATCTATTGTTTATTGAAATCTCATGTGCCAGATACTAGGTTTGGGTTTCTACATATGTTATCTTACTTAATCCTCACACAAAAAATCCTAGGAGGTAGTTTTTCAGTATTTTAATGGATAAACTGAGGCTCACAGAGTTTAAGTAACCTGCACAGAGTTCTAAGCTCCTAAGTTGAGCAATTGAATTGAAAGGATTTTGGTTAGCAACTATCGAGAGCTTTATTTAAAAAAAATACTTTTTGATGAGCAAAGCACTAGAAAATGTTCAGAATATTTGGGGCTGTCATAGTATGACACTCATGGGTCACTTTAAATTGTACATTGTTTGACAATGCTTTTCTTCTGTTTGAGCCGTGGCAATGGCTACAGTTTAAACCAGTGCCGAGAAAGAAATGTTCCATCAGTCAGATTCTTTTTAAATTATAACTTTTAAGCTATGCTTTGGCCTGTCTGGGTCTAGTCAATTACCAAATGCTGACTTTTTCCTTAAAGATTTATCCTGTCAAAATTTGAAAGCCTGAGGTTTTGAAATAAAAAAATAATTCATCTCAAAAAAAATTTTAAGTAATCTTTTCTTCTCAAACACCCTCAGAAAGAATATGGCTTCTAGTAGTGGATCTTCCCATTAAAGTCAATTTTAACATTTTGTAGACTTAAAACGGAAAAATTTTATTAAAATTTTTTAAAGGATCTAAATTCTGGTAAACATGAACTATTTTCTATATACCTCATCTTTTGCTAATACTACTTTTGATTATGTCTTTTGATTCTATTTTAGTATCTTCCTCAAAATGGATATTTTTAATTGGTCATAGCTCAAGGTATTAATACTGCTTTTCTGTAAGGCAAGAAATATATGAAAACTACTGGAACAACATCAAGACCACCATACACAAAACCTAGATCTTTACATTCAGTGAATAATTATGTTCCATCCTTTATTACTTATCAACAGCGATGTGCCCTAATAGGTAGATAGTTCTAAATATTCAGTTTTTTTCTACGACTGTTAATATTACAATGTTCTGTAATTTGCCTATGTACATTTAATAATGCAGTGTTCTAATTTAGGGACAAGCAAACTATATTGCACTTGTATTTGTATGGCTTGTGAAATAAGAATAGTTATTACATTTTTAAATGGTTTTTAAATAAGTACCTAAACAATAGCTTTGAATTTGCTACTTGGCATAAAAAACCTAAAATATTTGTTGTCTGGCATTTCACAGCAAAAATTTGCCAACTTCTGTTCTAACGAACTACACTTTTCTCCTTATAAATATTTATGTCAAATTCACACTAAGATTTGGTTTTGACTTAGTGCAATTTGGAAAGATTCTAGGGGTGGAACAAAGAAGAGGTGTAAACATGTGACAATGCCGGGTTCTCAGACTCTGAAATGCAGGACATTTGGAGGTTTGCTGCCTGTCCCTTCACTCTGTGTGTGTCCCATGCAGGCCAACTTGGTGGTGCAGGAGAATCGCCACATCCTGGCCATGCAGGATCTGCAGAAGGCACAGGCTGAGCTGGACGACAAACAGGCAGAGCTCGATGTGGTGCAGGCTGAGTACGAACGGGCCATGACGAAAAAGCAGGTACCTGTCCTTTGTCATGGGAGGGACTGTCACACACTACATGGCTACTTTAAGCCCTCATTCCATTTTTACTTTTTCTCTCTAGGGGTTTGGTTTCCAGGGGGAATTTGCTGAATTTATATGTAATTCATACACAGCACATAATCCCTCACTGAACCCTGGACGTTTTTTCTAACAGACACTGTAGGTCTTTGGTGAGATGCCAGCATGGCCAGCCAAGATAGCAGTCAGTTCTGGAACATACCCATTCTGAGTTTCCTTATTAACGGGGATGGTGATAATAACATCTTTGGTGGGATTTTTATATTTTTCAAATCACATCTTCCCACTTTATCTTATTTAATCTTTATGCAATCTTGCAAGAAAGGGTGGATACTTTTATTTTCATTTTAGGGAAAGGTACTGAGGGCAAGAGAGGACAAGGGAATGTATCCCAGTCATAGGGCTGGTCAGTGGCACAGTCTGGACAGACCTTGGTCTTCTGATGTTTACTTCAGGCCTCTCTACTGGATCAGTGTGACATGGCTATATCCCGTGATAGTGACCATTGACAGCTTTTTCAACCTGTGCATATTTTGCAACTTTATTGCTTTTAGAAATCTAGTTTCATACATTTCTTTTCCACTAGCTCTTTATTTTATTTATACTAATTTCAGCTCCATTGAGACCTTCTTCCTTCTGGTAATCAAGGCAGATTTAACATCAAGCTAATGTAGCTTAAGCTTCAGGATCTCTCATTTGCACAGGTCCCCATGAGTGCTCTGGTTACCGGGAGCTGTAGAATGTTTTGTAGTTAGGGGAGGCAAGTTTGTGATCAGCAAGCATTTGTAAGTTAGCGTTCAGGCAAAATGCCTTAAGAAATCTCAGAGGAAAGGCACCTGAGTTTCTAAGTCACCAGGCCTTGGTCATAACTTTTTTCCTCTAAATGCTTATTACTTTTGTTTTTTATATTTATAAAAATTCTCTAATAATTTCTCTTAAGGTGGTTTCCCCAGATTATGTAAATCTGATTCTACAAAATATGTATCTGTCTCTGATAAATTCTATATTTGGTAAATAAGAGCTAGATTCACTCTACTCTTTCCTTGATGATTTAATGGAATTCACCCCTGCCCCTTCTCAACCTTCACTTGGCCAGATTGAGATTCCTGTGCTTTTAGTTTTATAGGAGACCCAATAAGGGAATTTGGGTAAACATTTAAGTTCCATTGAATGCACAAAATACGGTATTTTCTCTTGAAGATAAGTCTCCTGAAAGCAAAACAAGAGGCTTTTACAAGTTTCAAAGGAGCAATTGTATAGCACCTATATGGGTTTGTATGCCCCACATAATTCACTTATATAAGGAGAAGATTAACATTGCAGTTTGTAAGAGTCCACATTAGAAACTGCGAAGAAGGAGTGTTCATTTCTACCATTTTGGACACTCACTTGTATCAGGAAACACTACTGAATACCACAAAAATATTTTACTTTCTCATTGTATTATGTTTAAATTTTAACATTTTTGCATTATCTTATTCAATAAGTGTTTTTGCTTTTGAGCATCTGCTATTAGGTAAATAATCAGAGGACCACACAAGAACTGCGACCGTAAAACTATGGCTCTAACATTAAAACTTAAGTTTCCACAAATGTCAAATTTTTTTAATTGAGAAAGAATCTAGCTACAAGCCCTCCTACCCTCACCTGTGACCTTGATCTTCAGTCATTTTTGCTGCTCTCTCCCCTCCACAGGGCTCCATGGGAGTCCAGGGGGCTTGTGGCCCACCCAGGAGGCAGGGGAAAGGCCTCTAGTCTCCAGCTCATCCTGGTGCCAGGCCTGCATGGCCCTTTGAAGGAGGGTGTGACCCAGCAACTCTCTACATGGGACCCAGGGTCTTTGCTTAGGGTCTAGCTTCTCTAGGCCTCCTGGAGAGCTAGCCACCCCTCTGGGCCCCATAAAAGAGTGAAACTTGGGAAGGGTGCTACTTGGAAACTCAGTAAATTCTGCATCCTCCTCCCAACCAGGCTGGGAGGATGATCTGCTTCTCCCTCTTGTAGTCACAGATATTTACTCTTCTCCCTTCCCCCATATCCCAATCCCCAAAAGGAGCCTGGGCTTCCAGAAAACAAAAACCAGGAAGAGAGAGGCCTGGCCATTTATTCATTTGGCTGAATGGGAGTAGGGTGGAAAATTTAGGGAAAACAAATCAATATTAAAAGTCTCTTTTAAATGAAAAATGTGTTTCTAATAAATGATGTAGAATCATACTTCCCAGCTGGCATCTTTCCTCCTGGGGATAAAAAATACGGGTGTTACAGATGTGGAGATGAGCCAGCCTCTCAGTTTCTTTGCATTAACTGTAGGAGGAAGAGAAACAGAAAGTAGACTATGACAGACTGAAATAAATATCTTGTTTTTGAAAAACATTGCATTATGTATTGTGTCTTAAACACAGAGAAACAGAACGATTTGTTTTTCAGAACTAAGCACTGAGCGGCGACAGTATGGGAAAGTGTGGGTTAAAGGCCTTTTACTGACTCGGAAAACAGCAGGAGGGGATCTGCTAAGTCAGGCATGGCTGAAATTTGGGCAGGAGCCTCAGAGCACCACAATTGAAAGCTTCGCCCACAGTAAAATGAGGTGTGGAGTTAGATAAAGCAATGATGTTACCAGAACTTCAACATGAGAGATATTCCTCATTTTTAACTAAGGATATGTATTTCTTTACATTTTTTGTGCTGTGCGATATTAGCATGTATGCTTGTATTCTATTTCCATTTTTCTTTATAGGGACATAATAAATGATGCAAATTTTCGTTATCTCTCAGTTATTAACATGTGAGGAGGGTCTGACCACTTGGCTCAAGGCACAAGCTGGAGGGATCCACCCAAGTTCCATGAATAGGACATAAGAGATAGGAATGGGCTGACACAGACACACGAAAATGGCATCTCAGGCTTCCTGAGAAATAAATGGCTCCCCTGTCTCAGAAAGGCAGATAATATATAATGTTTTAAAGTTATGTTTTTGTGCCAGAGTCTATGTTTATCTCAATAAAAGTTTTCTTCTGGTTATGGCCTTTTTTAGACCTTGCTTGAAGATGCAGAACGATGCAGACGCAAGATGCAGACGGCTTCCACGCTGATCAGGGGCTTGGCAGGAGAGAAAGAAAGATGGACAGAGCAAAGTCAGGAGTTTGCTGCACAAACCAAAAGACTCGTAGGTATGCAAATTCCTTTCTGAATGGGATTATGTGTTGACTCTGATAGGGAGTTAGCAAGCTCAAGCTTTAATTAAAATAAAAAAAATACTTGATTATTTCAAATTCCTCTGTGTGTGCATGTGTGTGTGTGTGTGTGTGTGTGTGCATGTGTGTGTGTGTGTGTCCAGCCATTTCAGAGGGATGGACATTGGTCTGGCATCTATGCTATCCTTATTAGATGTGTTAATGACCATTACGTCTCTTATTATCAGGTTACTTTTGAATTCTCCTCTGAGTGCATGGGTGTGTTGGTCAAGGTCACTTTGAATGAAAGTGTTGTCTTGAGGTTTTGCATCTCTTAAACTCAGAGGTCATCCTCTCGCTTCCAACAAAAGTCAAAATAATCCATTGCTTGACTACTAGCAGTTATTACTTGGTAGGCTATGTGGACCTTGTTTAACAATGAATCAAACTACTGCTTATTCACCAAGGCGCACAGCAACATGTGATTACAATTAGATCTGTGGAATTTGGTTTAAAAAAAAGATTGACTTTTTAATTTTTTTCATTTTTAATACATTTCGCAATTGTCACGATGATCATAAAGTATTCTAGTGGCGTTTGTATTTTCTATTTTAGGAGATGTATTGTTGGCTACGGCTTTTCTATCTTATTCTGGTCCATTTAACCAAGAGTTTCGCGATCTGCTGTTAAATGACTGGCAGAAGGAAATGAAAGCCCGGAAAATTCCATTTGGAAACAATCTAAATCTCAATGAGATGTTGATTGATGCTCCTACTATTAGTGAATGGAACCTCCAAGGTCTGCCAAATGATGACCTGTCCATTCAGAATGGCATTATTGTCACAAAGGCATCTCGCTATCCTTTGCTAATTGATCCACAGACCCAAGGCAAGATCTGGATTAAAAATAAGGAAAGCCGAAATGAACTCCAGGTAATTTGTGTGTCAGTGCATTTATGTTGCTGATCAAGTTTGACTGTCCCAGTTCAGCAAGAATCCAAGAATAAAGAAATATTTGAAAACATTAGAGATTTTTTTTTTCCTTTTTGTCTTTTTTCGTGTCCGGCAACGGATCGCAACCCTCAGTGTCGCGCCCGTACCGGACCGGGACCGGTAACGGGATCACAACCCTCGGTGTTGCTCCCCCACCTCGCTCAGCCAGTGAGCGGGAATCGGTCTGTATGTGGGTTCCGAACCCTTGGCGGGAGCGCCACTGCGCTCCCAAGCGGCACACTGTAGCAGTGCGCCACCAGGCCGGCCCCTAGAGATTTTTAAATAATCCTTGGGAGAGCACTAGCAGATGCAAGCTTAAATCTAATGTTAAAATATTTTCTAGAAATTTCATTATTTGCATTTGTGTTGATCTTTACTGAGGCCATATTTCATTGGTTTCAGATTCTATTCTGTTAACGTCTAGGGCTCTGTTAGGTAAGCAGAGAAGGACAGAGCTGTATCACACTAAGTGTGCAGCACTTTGTAAGAACACTTCTTAATTGTTCCATTATTTGCCACAAAAATGGTGACAGTAAAGGAAGAGCAAAGCTGCCACACAGAGCCTCTACATGCTTCCCAGTAGCAGAGAATAATAGTTTCTGCTAAAGAAAAGAGTGGAAACAGTTTGAGCTGTCTCTACCGTTTCAAGTATGGGCTCCAAAGCCAGGGATCTCTAAAAATCTATTTATTTGTCTCTAGCAACATAATGCTTTAGGCACCATTTGATGCCAGTTATCCCTGTGCATTGCATCATGATACTGTCTGTCAAGATTGACCTTGTGGCCGTGTTTCTAGATCACATCTCTAAATCACAAGTACTTCAGAAACCACCTGGAGGACAGCCTTTCTCTAGGAAGACCTTTGCTTATTGAAGATGTTGGGGAGGAACTAGATCCAGCCCTGGACAATATTTTGGAAAGAAATTTCATTAAAACTGGGTCTACCTTTAAGGTAGGTTAAACATATTGATAACAATGTGCAGAACAATTACCATGAGTCCAGGTAAACATGACATTCGTGGAATTCTCTCAATAGGCAGCAACTTAAATTTGAGTCAGTGGCAAGAGACATTTGTTTTTCTCTTCTGCACTTCCTGAGTTGGGATTAAAGTGTTCAAGAGCAATCCTTTTAGGAAGATCTACTTCACTTTTGTAAAGGAGAGTCTGGCTCCATTTTGATGTTTGACTTTTGCAGTGGATTGAATGGTTCCCCAAAGTCATTGAAGCTTAATACCCACTGTGACTGTTTAGGGTGGGAAATCCTATTACGGTAATTGAAAGGTGAGGCCTTGAAGAGGTGATTAGATTCTGAGGACTGTGCCCTAATGAATGCATTAATAATGGTGGTCTTGGGTGTGGTTCTGAGGGCTTTAAAAAGAGAGCACGTGGGAGTCTCTGTCTCTGCTCTACCAGAGCATGTGAGAGTCTCTGTCTCTGCTCTACCATTCTGCCGTGTGAAATCCCTGTGTTACTGTCACCACCAAGACACTGGATATGTTCCCTGGACTTTGGACTTCCCAGCCTCTGAAACTCTAAAGTAATAAATATCATTTTCTTACAAATTACCCAGTTCTGGGTATTTTGTTATGAGCTTCAGAAACAGACTAATACAACTCTTGACAGATTTTGAGCCCCTCCACACCCCTCTCCCATTCTGCTCCACGTCTGGGAGCTGATAAGGAAACCTGGGCACTCTCCTTTGGCACTGGTCAGAAATCCAAACCACAGAAGTCCCTGCCCACACCCATGTGTGGGAGCCCTCATCCCAGCTGCAGCCCTTAACCACCATAAAACCCTTAACCAGCTGCCCCTCAATGCTCTTTCAAGCCATTTTTGGGTCCTGCTTGGGAGCCGGCTCTGATCTCCCCAGAAAAATCTCATTATGTACGTAATAAGCCTTTTCTTAGCGTTTTGGGTATGTGTGGCATCATCTGCCTTGATCTCTGAACCAAATTTTTGGTGAGGGATCCATCTTGCTTCTGTGGTATGATCACAACAATTTTGGAACTAAATTTTATATTTACGAAGTTCCTTTCTTCCTTCATTCCTGCATTTTTGTGGTTTGAAACCTTGTGAATGCCTAATGACCATTTCTTTTTCAGCATACAGATGATCTCCAGTTATGTAATTGCTTAAAGCA